CTCGTGTTTCATCTCTCAAGATGAAGGGATGACTGAATTCCCTGCGGAGACCCTAGAGAAAGGCCTAGGTCCCCGCCTGATCTCGACAGGAATCCTCACATCCCTTTGACAAATCGAGAGGCACGCGGAACTCAATGCTCCAAGAGGTGACGATGCCTGACTCCACTTGAAAACTGATAGACATCCCAATATCCATGTAGCAGCTGGCAAGGGACACTGGGTCCCCCGTCTCACTTAGAGAAGCGTCCCTATTGCTTTGCCAATCCTCGAAGAAATTCCTGACGTGTCCCTCGTAAGGAGACAGCACTCCTGACGTCGCTGAACAATCACGAGTTTTGAAGGGCCATCCCCACTGTAACTCGAGAATATAACCCAGGATCCCTGCGAACTCGGGAAAAAGCATGAGACTTCCCCCTTGCCGCGAGATGAGGCCCGATTCCCCTGCATTGCATGCAGAGCAATTCCGTGTTCCCCATCAAACTTGTAAGGAGCATTGACTTGCTTGATGGAGCTCCAGAGAGTCCCCAAGACACTGTCACAAGTCTCGAGGAAACCTGAGATCATCGCAGCCACTCGAAAAACCTCCATGTACTCCAAATCAACTCGACATGAACCTTGATTCCCCTGTATTGTCTCCATAGCCATCTGGGGTTCCCCATCAAACACGACAAGTGGCTTGACTTCCTTTAGGCACCTCCAGAGATTCCCTGAGGACACTGTCCAAGTCGAGAGGAAAACCAAGTTCAGCACAGCAACTCGAAGAAACCTCCGTGTACCCCAGATCGTCTCGAGATGAGAGCTGATTCCCTGGCTTTGACTCAAGAGTTATCCCAACTTTCCACAAGCACCTCAAGCGGAGGCTTCTCTCAGCAATAGGTATGTGAGAGTGATCCTGAATGTGCTGCTTCAAGTGAAATGGACATCGAGATGCCCTGACTCAAAAAAAAGCCGAATTTCCCTGCAGTGGCTAGAATGCAGGCTCGTCTTTCATTTCCCAAGATGACGGCATGTCTGAATCCCCTGTGTAGACCCTAGAGAAAGCCCTATGTCCCCGCCTATTCTCGGCAGGAAGCCGCAGACCCCTTTGACACCTGGAGAGACACACAGAGTTCAGTGCTCCAAAAGGTGACGATGCCTAACTCCACTTGAAAATTTAAAGGCACTCCAATATCCCTGTGGCACCTGGAAAGGGATCCTGGGTCTCCTGACTCACCTCGAGGAGAGCCCCTATTGCCCTGACAACCCTCGAAGAGATTCCCAATGTGTCCCCTGTAACGCCACAGGAGTCATGACGTCGCTGAACAAACACGAGTTTTGAAGGGCCATGCCCACCCTAAATTGAGAATATACGCTAGGTTAACTCCGCAACTCGACAAAAACCATGAGACTTCCAATTCACCACGAGATGAGGGCCGATTACCCTGCATTGGTGCTGAGCAATTCCGTGGTCCCCATCAAACATGTAAGGAGCATTCACTTGCTAAATGGAGCTCCAGAGAGTCACCAATAACACTGTCACAAGTCTCAAAGGACACTGACGTCACAGCAGTAATGATAAATAGCTCTGTGTACCACAAATCAACTCGAGATAAGGCCCGATTCCACTGAATTGGATCCCGGGACATCCCGCGTTCCCCATGAAACATGACAAGTGACTTGACTTCCTTTAGGAAACGCCAGAGATTCCCTCAGAACACTGTTCAAGTCGAGAGGAACACCAAATTCAGCACAGCAACTCGAGGAAAGCTACGTGTACTCCAAATCATCTATAGATGAGAGCTGATTCCCTGGCTTCAACTCAAGAGGTATGCCAAATTTCCATAAGCACCTCAAGTGGAGGCTTCTCTCAACAATAGGTATGTGAGAGGGACACTGAGTTTGCTGCCTATTGTGGAAAGGACTCCAAGATGTTCTCACTTGAAAGACGGCAGGATATCAATACAGTGCCTTCAATGCAGGACGTCCCTCATCTAACATGATGAAGGGATGTCTGAATCCCCTACAGAGACCCTTGAGAAAGACCTAGGTCCCCGCGTCATCACTACAGGAGTCCTCACATCGCTTTGATACCTCGAGAGGCACGTGGAGTTCAGTGCTCCGAAATGGGACGATGTCAACTCTTCTTGAAAATTGAGAGTAATCCCAATTTCTCTGTGGCAATTGGAAAGGGACACTGGGTCTCGCGCCTCACCTTGAGAAGCGTCCCTTTTGCCCTGCAAAGCCTCGAAGAGATTCCCAACGTGTCCCTTGCAATGCCACAGGAGTCCTTACTTCACTGCACAAACACGATTTTTGAAGGTCCCTCCCCGCTGTAATTCGAGAATATAACCTAGGTGCCTGCCACACTGAAGTAAAACAATGAGACTTCCCCTTCTCCACAAGATGAGGCCCAATTCTCTTGTATTGCATGCAGAGCAATTCCGTGTTCCCCATCAAACACGTAAAGAGCCTTGACTTGCTAGATGGAACTCCAGAGAGTCCCCAAGAACACTTTCCCAAGTCTAGAGGGAACCTGATGTCACCGCAGAAACACAAAATAGTGCCGTGTACCCCAAATCAACTCGAGATGAGGCCCGATTCCCCTTCATTTTCGCCACAGCCATCCAGGGTTCCCCATCAAACATGGCAATTGTCTTGCCTTCTTTAGGCAACTCCAGAGATTCCCCGAGAACACCATCTTAAGTCTAGAGGAACACCAAGTTCAGCACAGCAACTCGAGGAAAGCTCCATGTTCCCCAAACCGTCTCGAGATGAGAGCTGATTCCTTGGCTTCGACTCAAGAGGTATGCCTCTTTCCATAAGCAAATCAAGAGGAGGCTTCTCTCAACAAACAGTATTTGAGAGGGAACCTGATTTTGCTGCCTCAAGTGGAATGGACACTGAGATGCCCTGATTCGAATAAAGGTCGGATTTCCAAGCATTGGCTTGAATACAGGCTCGTGTTTCATCTCTCAAGATGAAGGGATGACTGAATTCCCTGTGGAGACCCTAGAGAAAGGCCTAGGTCCCCGCCTCATCTCGACAGGAATCCTTACATCCCTTTGTCAAATCGAGAGGCACGCGGAACTCAATGCTCCAAGAGGTGACGATGCCTGACTCCACTTGAAAACTGATAGACATCCCAATATCCATGTAGCAACTGTCAAGGGACACTGGGTCCCCCGTCTCACCTAGAGAAGCGTCCCTATTGCCTTGCCAATCCTCGAAGAAATTCCTGACGAGTCCCTTGTAAGGAGACAGCACTCCTGACGTCGCTGAACAATCACGAGTTTTGAAGGGCCATCCCCACTGTAACTCGAGAATATAAACCAGGTTCCCAGCGAACTCGGGAAAAAGCATGAGACTTCCACCTTGCCGCGAGATGAGGCCCAATTCCCCTGCATTGAATGCAGAGCAATTCCGTGTTCCCCATCAAACCTGTAAGGAACTTTGACTTGCTTGATGGAGCTCCAGAGAGTCCCCAAGACACTGTCACAAGTCTCGAGGAAACCTGAGATCATCGCAGCAACACGAAATACCTCCATGTACTCCAAATCAACTCCAGATGAGGCGTGATTCCCCTACATTGTCTCCAGAGCCATCCGGGGTTCCCCATCAAAAACGACAAGTGGCTTGACTTCTTTTAGGCAACTACAGAGATTCCCTGAGGACACTGTCCAAGTCGAGAGGAAAACCAAATTCAGCACAGCAACTCGAAGAAACCTCCGTGTACCCCAGATCGTCTCGAGATTAGAGCTGATTCCCTGGCTTTGACTCAAGAGTTATGCCAGCTTTCCACAAGCACCTCAAGCGGAGGCTTCTCTCAGCAATAGGTATGTGAGAGTGATCCTGAATGTGCTGCTTCAAGTGAAATGGACACCGAGATGCCCTGACTCAAGGCCGAATTTCCCTGCAGTGGCTAGAATGTAGGTTTGTCTTTCATTTTCCAAGATAACGAGTTGTCTGAATCCCCTGTGTAGACCCTAGAGAAAGCCCTTTGTCCCCGCCTATTCTCGGTAGGAAGCCGCAGATCCCTTTGACACCTCGAGAGACACACAGAGCTCAGTGCTCCAAAAGGTGACGATGCCTGACTCCACTTGAAAATTTAAAGGCACTCCAATATCCCTGTGGCACCTGGAATGGGATCCTGGGTCTCCCGCCTCACCTCGAGGAGCGCCTCTACTGCCCTGACAACCCTCGAAGAGATTCACAATGTGTCCCTTGTAACGCCACAGGAGTCATGACGTCGCTGAACAAACACGAGTTTTGAAGGGACACGCCCATCGTAAATCGAGAATATACGCCAGGTTAACTCCGCAACTCGACAAAAACCATGAGACTTCCAATTCACCACGACATGAGTTCCGATTACCCTGCATTGGTGCAGAGCAATTCCTCGGTCCCCATCAAACACGTAAGGAGCCTTCACTTGCTAAATGGAGCTCCAGAGAGTCACCAAGAACACTGTCACAAGTATCGAAGGACCCTGAAGTCACAGCAGTAATGATAAATAGCTCTGTGTACCCCAAATCAACTCGAGATAAGGCACGATTCCACCGAATTGGATCCCGAGCCATCCTGCGTTCCCCATGAAACATGACAAGTGACTTGACTTCCTTTAGGCAACTCCAGAGATTCCCTGAGAACACTGTTCAAGTCGAGAGGAACACCAAGTTCAGCACAGCAACTCGAGGAAAGCTACGTGTACTCCAAATCATCTATAGATGAGAGATGATTCCCTGGCTTCAACTCAAGAGGTATGCCAAATTTCCATAAGCACCTCAAATGGAGGCTTCTCTCAACAATAGGTATATGAGTGGGATACTGAGTTTGCTTCCTATAGTGGAAAGGACTCCAAGACGTTCTCACTTGAAAGACGGCAGGATAACAATATAGTGCCTTGAATGCAGGACGTCCCTCATCTAATATGATGAAGGGATGTCTGAATCCCCTGCACAGACCCTAAGAAAGACCTAGGTCCCCGCCTCATCAATACAGGAGTCCTCATATCGCTTTGATACCTCGAGCGTCACGCGGAGTTCAATGCTCCGAAATGTAACGATGTCAAAACTTCTTGAAAATTGAGAGTAATCCCAGTATCCCTGTGGCAATTGGAAAGGGACACTCGGTCTTCCGCCTCACCGCGAGAAGCGTTCCTATTGCCATGCCAAGCCTCAAAGAGATTCCCAACGTGTCCCTTGTATTGCCACAGGATTCCTGACTTCGCTGAACAAACACAATTTTTGAAGGACCCTCCCAGCTGTAATTCGAGAATATAACCTAGGTGCCCGCCGCACTGAACAAAAAATTGAGACTTCCCCTTCTCCACGAGATGAGGCCCAATTCTCTTGCATTGCATGCAGAGCAATTCCGTGTTCCCCATCAAACACGTAAGGAGCCTTGACTTGCTAGATGGAACTCCAGAGAGTCCCCAAGAACACTTTCACAAGTCTAGAGGGAACCTGAGGTCACCGCAGAAACACAAAATAGTGCCGTGTACCCCAAATCAACTCGAGATGAGGCCCGATTCCACTTCATTTTCGCCACAGCCATCCAGAGTTCCCCATCAAACATGGCAATTGTCTTCCTTCTTTAGGCAACTCCAGAGATTCCCCAAGAACACCATCTTAAGTCTAGAGGAACACCAAGTTCAGAACAGCAACTCGAGGAAAGCTCCATGTTCCCCAAACCGTCTCGAGATGAGAGCTGATTCCCTGGCTTCGACTCAAGAGGTATGCCTCTTTCCATAAGCACATCAAGAGGAGGCTTCTCTCAACAAACAGTATGTGAGAGGGAACCTGATTTTGCTGCCTCAAGTGGAATGGACACTGAGATTCCCTGATTCGAATAAAGGTCGGATTTCCAAGCATTGGCTTGAATACAGGCTCGTGTTTCATCTCTCAAGATGAAGGGATGACTGAATTCCCTGTGGAGACCCTATAGAAAGGCCTAGGTCCCCGCCTCATCTCGACAGGAATCCTCACATCCGTTTGTCAAATCGAGAGGCACGCGGAACTCAATGCTCCAAGAGGTGACGATGCCTGACTCCACTTGAAAACTGATAGACATCCCAATATCCATGTAGCAACTGTCAAGGGACACTGGGTCCCTCGTCTCACCTAGAGAAGCGTCCCTATTGCCTTGCCAATCCTCGAAGAAATTCCTGACGAGTCCCTTGTAAGGAGACAGCACTCCTGACGTCGCTGAACAATCACGAGTTTTGAAGGGCCATCCCCACTGTAACTCGAGAATATAACCCAGGTTCCCAGCGAACTCGGGAAAAAGCATGAGACTTCCCCCTTGCCGCGAGATGAGGCCCAATTCCCCTGCATTGAATGCAGAGCAATTCCGTGTTCCCCATCAAACCTGTAAGGAAATTTGACTTGCTTGATGGAGCTCCAGAGAGTCCCCAAGACACTGTCACAAGTCTCGAGGAAACCTGAGATCATCGCAGCAACACGAAATACCTCCATGTACTCCAAATCAACTCGAGATGAGGCGTGATTCCCCGACATTGTCTCCAGAGCCATCCGGGGTTCCCCATCAAACACGACAAGTGGCTTGACTTCTTTTAGGCAACTACAGAGATTCCCTGAGGACACTGTCCAAGTCGAGAGGAAAACCAAATTCAGCACAGCAACTCGAAGAAACCTCCGTGTACCCCAGATCGTCTCGAGATGAGAGCTGATTCCCTGGCTTTGACTCAAGAGTTATGCCAACATTCCACAAGCACCTCAAGCGGAGGTTTCTCTCAGCAATAGGTATGTGAGAGTGAACCTGAATGTGCTGCTTCAAGTGAAATGGACACCGAGATGCCCTGACTCAAGGCCGAATTTCCCTGCAGTGGCTAGAATGTAGGTTTGTCATTCATTTTCCAAGATAACGAGATGTCTGAATCCCCTGTGTAGACCCTAGAGAAAGCCCTTTGTCCCCGCCTATTCTCGGCAGGAAGCCGCAGATCACTTTGACACCTCGAGAGACACACAGAGTTCAGTGCTCCAAAAGGTGATGATGCCTGACTCCACTTGAAAATTTAAAGGCACTCCAATATCCCTGTGGCACCTGGAATGGGATCCTGGGTCACCCGCCTCACCTCGAGGAGCGCCTCTATTGCCCTGACAACCCTCGAAGAGATTCACAATGTGTCCCTTGTAACGCCACAGGAGTCATGACGTCGCTGAACAAACACGAGTTTTGAAGGGACACGCCATCGTAAATCGAGAATATACGCCAGGTTAACTCTGCAACTCGACAAAAACCCTGAGACTTCCAATTCACCACGACATGAGTTCCGATTACCCTGCATTGAGGCAGAGCAATTCCGTGATCCTCATCAAACACGTAAGGAGCCTTCACTTGCTAAATGGAGCTCCAGAGAGTCACCAAGAACACTGTCACAAGTCTCGAAGGACCCTGAAGTCACAGCAGTAATGATAAATAGCTCTGTGTACCCCAAATCAACTCGAGATAAGGCCCGATTCCACTGAATTGGATCCCGGGCCATCCCGCGTTCCCCATGAAACATGACAAGTGACTTGACTTCCTTTAGGCAACTCCAGAGATTCCCTGAGAACACTGTTCAAGTCGAGAGGAACACCAAGTTCAGCACAGCAACTCGAGGAAAGCTACGTGTACTCCAAATCATCTATAGATGAGAGATGATTCCCTGGCTTCAACTCAAGAGGTATGCCAAATTTCCATAAGCACCTCAAATGGAGGCTTCTCTCAACAATAGGTATATGAGTGGGATACTGAGTTTGCTTCCTATAGTGGAAAGGACTCCAAGACGTTCTCACTTGAAAGACGGCAGGATAACAATATAGTGCCTTGAATGCAGGACGTCCCTCATCTAATATGATGAAGGGATGTCTGAATCCCCTGCACAGACCCTAAGAAAGACCTAGGTCCCCGCCTCATCAATACAGGAGTCCTCATATCGCTTTGATACCTCGAGCGTCACGCGGAGTTCAATGCTCCGAAATGTAACGATGTCAAAACTTCTTGAAAATTGAGAGTAATCCCAGTATCCCTGTGGCAATTGGAAAGGGACACTCGGTCTTCCGCCTCACCGCGAGAAGCGTTCCTATTGCCATGCCAAGCCTCAAAGAGATTCCCAACGTGTCCCTTGTATTGCCACAGGATTCCTGACTTCGCTGAACAAACACAATTTTTGAAGGACCCTCCCAGCTGTAATTCGAGAATATAACCTAGGTGCCCGCCGCACTGAACAAAAAATTGAGACTTCCCCTTCTCCACGAGATGAGGCCCAATTCTCTTGCATTGCATGCAGAGCAATTCCGTGTTCCCCATCAAACACGTAAGGAGCCTTGACTTGCTAGATGGAACTCCAGAGAGTCCCCAAGAACACTTTCACAAGTCTAGAGGGAACCTGAGGTCACCGCAGAAACACAAAATAGTGCCGTGTACCCCAAATCAACTCGAGATGAGGCCCGATTCCACTTCATTTTCGCCACAGCCATCCAGAGTTCCCCATCAAACATGGCAATTGTCTTCCTTCTTTAGGCAACTCCAGAGATTCCCCAAGAACACCATCTTAAGTCTAGAGGAACACCAAGTTCAGAACAGCAACTCGAGGAAAGCTCCATGTTCCCCAAACCGTCTCGAGATGAGAGCTGATTCCCTGGCTTCGACTCAAGAGGTATGCCTCTTTCCATAAGCACATCAAGAGGAGGCTTCTCTCAACAAACAGTATGTGAGAGGGAACCTGATTTTGCTGCCTCAAGTGGAATGGACACTGAGATTCCCTGATTCGAATAAAGGTCGGATTTCCAAGCATTGGCTTGAATACAGGCTCGTGTTTCATCTCTCAAGATGAAGGGATGACTGAATTCCCTGTGGAGACCCTATAGAAAGGCCTAGGTCCCCGCCTCATCTCGACAGGAATCCTCACATCCGTTTGTCAAATCGAGAGGCACGCGGAACTCAATGCTCCAAGAGGTGACGATGCCTGACTCCACTTGAAAACTGATAGACATCCCAATATCCATGTAGCAACTGTCAAGGGACACTGGGTCCCCCGTCTCACCTAGAGAAGCGTCCCTATTGCCTTGCCAATCCTCGAAGAAATTCCTGACGAGTCCCTTGTAAGGAGACAGCACTCCTGACGTCGCTGAACAATCACGAGTTTTGAAGGGCCATCCCCACTGTAACTCGAGAATATAACCCAGGTTCCCAGCGAACTCGGGAAAAAGCATGAGACTTCCCCCTTGCCGCGAGATGAGGCCCAATTCCCCTGCATTGAATGCAGAGCAATTCCGTGTTCCCCATTAAACCTGTAAGGAAATTTGACTTGCTTGATGGAGCTCCAGAGAGTCCCCAAGACACTGTCACAAGTCTCGAGGAAACCTGAGATCATCGCAGCAACACGAAATACCTCCATGTACTCCAAATCAACTCGAGATGAGGCGTGATTCCCCGACATTGTCTCCAGAGCCATCCGGGGTTCCCCATCAAACACGACAAGTGGCTTGACTTCTTTTAGGCAACTACAGAGATTCCCTGAGGACACTGTCCAAGTCGAGAGGAAAACCAAATTCAGCACAGCAACTCGAAGAAACCTCCGTGTACCCCAGATCGTCTCGAGATGAGAGCTGATTCCCTGGCTTTGACTCAAGAGTTATGCCAACATTCCACAAGCACCTCAAGCGGAGGTTTCTCTCAGCAATAGGTATGTGAGAGTGATCCTGAATGTGCTGCTTCAAGTGAAATGGACACCGAGATGCCCTGACTCAAGGCCGAATTTCCCTGCAGTGGCTAGAATGTAGGTTTGTCATTCATTTTCCAAGATAACGAGATGTCTGAATCCCCTGTGTAGACCCTAGAGAAAGCCCTTTGTCCCCGCCTATTCTCGGCAGGAAGCCGCAGATCACTTTGACACCTCGAGAGACACACAGAGTTCAGTGCTCCAAAAGGTGATGATGCCTGACTCCACTTGAAAATTTAAAGGCACTCCAATATCCCTGTGGCACCTGGAATGGGATCCTGGGTCTCCCGCCTCACCTCGAGGAGCGCCTCTATTGCCCTGACAACCCTCGAAGAGATTCACAATGTGTCCCTTGTAACGCCACAGGAGTCATGACGTCGCTGAACAAACACGAGTTTTGAAGGGACACGCCATCGTAAATCGAGAATATACGCCAGGTTAACTCTGCAACTCGACAAAAACCCTGAGACTTCCAATTCACCACGACATGAGTTCCGATTACCCTGCATTGAGGCAGAGCAATTCCGTGATCCTCATCAAACACGTAAGGAGCCTTCACTTGCTAAATGGAGCTCCAGAGAGTCACCAAGAACACTGTCACAAGTCTCGAAGGACCCTGAAGTCACAGCAGTAATGATAAATAGCTCTGTGTACCCCAAATCAACTCGAGATAAGGCCCGATTCCACTGAATTGGATCCCGGGCCATCCCGCGTTCCCCATGAAACATGACAAGTGACTTGACTTCCTTTAGGCAACTCCAGAGATTCCCTGAGAACACTGTTCAAGTCGAGAGGAACACCAAGTTCAGCACAGCAACTCGAGGAAAGCTACGTGTACTCCAAATCATCTATAGATGAGAGATGATTCTCTGGCTTTAACTCAAGAGGTATGCCAAATTTCCATAAGCACCTCAAGTGGAGGCTTCTCTCAACAATAGGTATGTGAGAGGGACACTGAGTTTGCTGCCTACAATGGAAAGGACTCCAAGACGTTCTCACTTGAAAGACGGCAGGATAACAATACAGTGCCTTCAATGCAGGACGTCCCTCATCTAACATGATGAAGGGATGTCTGAATCCCCTGCACAGACCCTAGAGAAAGACCTAGGTCCCCGCCTCATCACTACAGGAGTCCTCACATCGCTTTGATACCTCGAGAATCACGCGGAGTTCAATGCTCCGAAATGTGACGATGTCAAGTCTTCTTGAAAATTGAGAGTAATCCCATTATCCCTGTGGCAGTTGGAAAGGGACACTGGGTCTTCCGCCTCACCGCGAGAAGCGTCCCTATTGCCCTGCCAAGCCTCGAAGAGATTCCCAACGTGTCCCTTGTATTGCTGCAGGATTCCTGACGTCACTGAACAAACACGATTTTTGAAGGACCCTCCCAGCTGTAATTCGAGAATATAACCTAGGTGCCCGCCGCACGAGAACAAAAACAATGAGACTTCCCTCTCTCCACGAGATGAGGCCCAATTCTCTTGCATTGCATGCAGAGCAATTCCGTGATCCCCATCAAACACGTAAGGAGCCTTGACTTGCTAGATGGAACTCCAGTGAGTCCCCAAGAACACTTTCACAAGTCTAGAGGGAACCTGAGGTCACCGCAGAAATACAAAATAGTGCCGTGTAACCCAAGTCAACTCGAGATGAGGCCTGATTCCCCTTCATTTTCGCCACAGCCATCCCGAGTTCCCCATCAACCATGGCAATTGTCTTGCCTTCTTAAGGCAACCCCAGAGATTCCCCGAGAACCCCATCTTAAGTCTAGAGGAACAGCAACTTCAGCACAGCAACACGAGGTAAGCTCCGTGTTCCCCAAACTGTCTCGAGATGAGAGCTGATTCCCTGGCTTCGACTCAAGAGGTATGCCTTCTTTCCATAAGCACATCAAGAGGAGGCTTCTCTCAACAAAGAGTATGTGAGAGGGAACCTGATTTTGCTGCCTCAAGTGGAATGGACACTGAGATGCCCTGATTCGAATAATGGCCGGATTTCCAAGCATTGGCTTGAATACTGGCTCGTGTTTCATCTCACAAGATGAAGGGATGACTGAATTCCCTGTGGAGACCCTAGAGAAAGGCCTAGGTCCCCACCTCATCTCGACAGGAATCCTCACATCCCTTTGACAACTCGAGAGGCACTCGGAACTCAATGCTCCAAAAGGTGACGATGCCTGACTCCTCTTGAAAACTGATAGACATCCCAATATCCATGTAGCAACTGGCAAGGGACACTGGGTCCCCGGTCTCACTTAGAGAAGCGTCCCTTTTGCCTTGCCAATCCTCGAAGAAATTTCTGAAGTGTCCCTCGTAAGGAGACAGCACTCCTGACGTCGCTGAACAATCACGAGTTTTGAAGGGCCATCCCCACTGTAACTCGAGAATATAACCCAGGTTCCCGGCGAACTCGGGAAAAAGCATGAGACTTCCCCCTTGCCGCGAGAAGAGGCCCGATTCCCCTGCATTGCATGCAGAGACATCCGGGGTTCCCCATCAAACAAGACAAGTGGCTTGACTTCCGTTAGGCTACTCCAGAGATTCCCTGAGGACACTGTCCAAGTCGAGAGGAAAACCAACTTCAGCACAGCAACTCGAAGAAACCTCCGTGTACCCCAGATCGTCTCGAGATGAGAGCTGATTCCCTGGCTTTGACTCTAGAGTTAAGCCAACTTTCCACAAGCACCTCAAGCGGAGGCTTCTCTCAGCAATAGGTATGTGAGAGTGATCCTGAATGTGCTGCTTCAAGTGAAATGGACACCGAGATGCCCTGACTCAAGGCCGAATTTCCCTGCAGTGGCTAGAATGTAGGTTTGTCTTTCATTTTCCAAGATAACGAGTTGTCTGAATCCCCTGTGTAGACCCTAGAGAAAGCCCTTTGTCCCCGCCTATTCTCGGTAGGAAGCCGCAGATCCCTTTGACACCTCGAGAGACACACAGAGCTCAGTGCTCCAAAAGGTGACGATGCCTGACTCCACTTGAAAATTTAAAGGCACTCCAATATCCCTGTGGCACCTGGAATGGGATCCTGGGTCTCCCGCCTCACCTCGAGGAGCGCCTCTACTGCCCTGACAACCCTCGAAGAGATTCACAATGTGTCCCTTGTAACGCCACAGGAGTCATGACGTCGCTGAACAAACACGAGTTTTGAAGGGACACGCCCATCGTAAATCGAGAATATACGCCAGGTTAACTCCGCAACTCGACAAAAACCATGAGACTTCCAATTCACCACGACATGAGTTCCGATTACCCTGCATTGGTGCAGAGCAATTCCTCGGTCCCCATCAAACACGTAAGGAGCCTTCACTTGCTAAATGGAGCTCCAGAGAGTCACCAAGAACACTGTCACAAGTATCGAAGGACCCTGAAGTCACAGCAGTAATGATAAATAGCTCTGTGTACCCCAAATCAACTCGAGATAAGGCACGATTCCACCGAATTGGATCCCGAGCCATCCTGCGTTCCCCATGAAACATGACAAGTGACTTGACTTCCTTTAGGCAACTCCAGAGATTCCCTGAGAACACTGTTCAAGTCGAGAGGAACACCAAGTTCAGCACAGCAACTCGAGGAAAGCTACGTGTACTCCAAATCATCTATAGATGAGAGATGATTCCCTGGCTTCAACTCAAGAGGTATGCCAAATTTCCATAAGCACCTCAAATGGAGGCTTCTCTCAACAATAGGTATATGAGTGGGATACTGAGTTTGCTTCCTATAGTGGAAAGGACTCCAAGACGTTCTCACTTGAAAGACGGCAGGATAACAATATAGTGCCTTGAATGCAGGACGTCCCTCATCTAATATGATGAAGGGATGTCTGAATCCCCTGCACAGACCCTAAGAAAGACCTAGGTCCCCGCCTCATCAATACAGGAGTCCTCATATCGCTTTGATACCTCGAGCGTCACGCGGAGTTCAATGCTCCGAAATGTAACGATGTCAAAACTTCTTGAAAATTGAGAGTAATCCCAGTATCCCTGTGGCAATTGGAAAGGGACACTCGGTCTTCCGCCTCACCGCGAGAAGCGTTCCTATTGCCATGCCAAGCCTCAAAGAGATTCCCAACGTGTCCCTTGTATTGCCACAGGATTCCTGACTTCGCTGAACAAACACAATTTTTGAAGGACCCTCCCAGCTGTAATTCGAGAATATAACCTAGGTGCCCGCCGCACTGAACAAAAAATTGAGACTTCCCCTTCTCCACGAGATGAGGCCCAATTCTCTTGCATTGCATGCAGAGCAATTCCGTGTTCCCCATCAAACACGTAAGGAGCCTTGACTTGCTAGATGGAACTCCAGAGAGTCCCCAAGAACACTTTCACAAGTCTAGAGGGAACCTGAGGTCACCGCAGAAACACAAAATAGTGCCGTGTACCCCAAATCAACTCGAGATGAGGCCCGATTCCACTTCATTTTCGCCACAGCCATCCAGAGTTCCCCATCAAACATGGCAATTGTCTTCCTTCTTTAGGCAACTCCAGAGATTCCCCAAGAACACCATCTTAAGTCTAGAGGAACACCAAGTTCAGAACAGCAACTCGAGGAAAGCTCCATGTTCCCCAAACCGTCTCGAGATGAGAGCTGATTCCCTGGCTTCGACTCAAGAGGTATGCCTCTTTCCATAAGCACATCAAGAGGAGGCTTCTCTCAACAAACAGTATGTGAGAGGGAACCTGATTTTGCTGCCTCAAGTGGAATGGACACTGAGATTCCCTGATTCGAATAAAGGTCGGATTTCCAAGCATTGGCTTGAATACAGGCTCGTGTTTCATCTCTCAAGATGAAGGGATGACTGAATTCCCTGTGGAGACCCTATAGAAAGGCCTAGGTCCCCGCCTCATCTCGACAGGAATCCTCACATCCGTTTGTCAAATCGAGAGGCACGCGGAACTCAATGCTCCAAGAGGTGACGATGCCTGACTCCACTTGAAAACTGATAGACATCCCAATATCCATGTAGCAACTGTCAAGGGACACTGGGTCCCCCGTCTCACCTAGAGAAGCGTCCCTATTGCCTTGCCAATCCTCGAAGAAATTCCTGACGAGTCCCTTGTAAGGAGACAGCACTCCTGACGTCGCTGAACAATCACGAGTTTTGAAGGGCCATCCCCACTGTAACTCGAGAATATAACCCAGGTTCCCAGCGAACTCGGGAAAAAGCATGAGACTTCCCCCTTGCCGCGAGATGAGGCCCAATTCCCCTGCATTGAATGCAGAGCAATTCCGTGTTCCCCATCAAACCTGTAAGGAAATTTGACTTGCTTGATGGAGCTCCAGAGAGTCCCCAAGACACTGTCACAAGTCTCGAGGAAACCTGAGATCATCGCAGCAACACGAAATACCTCCATGTACTCCAAATCAACTCGAGATGAGGCGTGATTCCCCGACATTGTCTCCAGAGCCATCCGGGGTTCCCCATCAAACACGACAAGTGGCTTGACTTCTTTTAGGCAACTACAGAGATTCCCTGAGGACACTGTCCAAGTCGAGAGGAAAACCAAATTCAGCACAGCAACTCGAAGAAACCTCCGTGTACCCCAGATCGTCTCGAGATGAGAGCTGATTCCCTGGCTTTGACTCAAGAGTTATGCCAACATTCCACAAGCACCTCAAGCGGAGGTTTCTCTCAGCAATAGGTATGTGAGAGTGATCCTGAATGTGCTGCTTCAAGTGAAATGGACACCGAGATGCCCTGACTCAAGGCCGAATTTCCCTGCAGTGGCTAGAATGTAGGTTTGTCATTCATTTTCCAAGATAACGAGATGTCTGAATCCCCTGTGTAGACCCTAGAGAAAGCCCTTTGTCCCCGCCTATTCTCGGCAGGAAGCCGCAGATCACTTTGACACCTCGAGAGACACACAGAGTTCAGTGCTCCAAAAGGTGATGATGCCTGACTCCACTTGAAAATTTAAAGGCACTCCAATATCCCTGTGGCACCTGGAATGGGATCCTGGGTCTCCCGCCTCACCTCGAGGAGCGCCTCTATTGCCCTGACAACCCTCGAAGAGATTCACAATGTGTCCCTTGTAACGCCACAGGAGTCATGACGTCGCTGAACAAACACGAGTTTTGAAGGGACACGCCATCGTAAATCGAGAATATACGCCAGGTTAACTCTGCAACTCGACAAAAACCCTGAGACTTCCAATTCACCACGACATGAGTTCCGATTACCCTGCATTGAGGCAGAGCAATTCCGTGATCCTCATCAAACACGTAAGGAGCCTTCACTTGCTAAATGGAGCTCCAGAGAGTCACCAAGAACACTGTCACAAGTCTCGAAGGACCCTGAAGTCACAGCAGTAATGATAAATAGCTCTGTGTACCCCAAATGAACTCGAGATAAGGCCCGATTCCACTGAATTGGATCCCGGGACATCCCGCGTTCCCCATGAAACATGACAAGTGACTTGACTTCCTTTAGGCAACTCCAGAGATTCCCTGAGAACACTGTTCAAGTCGAGAGGAACACCAAGTTCAGCACAGCAACTCGAGGAAAGCTACGTGTACTCCAAATCATCTATAGATGAGAGATGATTCTCTGGCTTTAACTCAAGAGGTATGCCAAATTTCCATAAGCACCTCAAGTGGAGGCTTCTCTCAACAATAGGTATGTGAGAGGGACACTGAGTTTGCTGCCTACAATGGAAAGGACTCCAAGACGTTCTCACTTGAAAGACGGCAGGATAACAATACAGTGCCTTCAATGCAGGACTTCCCTCATCTAACATGATGAAGGGATGTCTGAATCCCCTGCACAGACCCTAAAGAAAGACCTAGGTCCCCGCCTCATCACTACAGGAGTCCTCACATCGCTTTGATACCTCGAGAATCACGCGGAGTTCAATGCTCCGAAATGTGACGACGTCAAGTCTTCTTGAAAATTGAGAGTAATCCCATTATCCCTGTGGCAATTGGAAAGGGACACTGGGTCTTCCGCCTCACCGCGAGAAGCGTCCCTATTGCCCTGCGAAGCCTCGAAGAGATTCCCAACGTGTCCCTTGTATTGCTGCAGGATTCCTGACGTCACTGAACAAACACGATTTTTGAAGGACCCTCCCAGCTGTAATTCGAGAATATAACCTAGGTGCCCGCCGCACGAGAACAAAAACAATGAGACTTCCCTCTCTCCACGAGATGAGGCCCAATTCTCTTGCATTGCATGCAGAGCAATTCCGTGATCCCCATCAAACACGTAAGGAGCCTTGACTTGCTAGATGGAACTCCAGTGAGTCCCCAAGAACACTTTCACAAGTCTAGAGGGAACCTGAGGTCACCGCAGAAATACAAAATAGTGCCGTGTAACCCAAGTCAACTCGAGATGAGGCCTGATTCCCCTTCATTTTCGCCACAGCCATCCCGAGTTCCCCATCAACCATGGCAATTGTCTTGCCTTCTTAAGGCAACCCCATAGATTCCCCGAGAACCCCATCTTAAGTCTAGAGGAACAGCAACTTCAGCACAGCAACACGAGGTAAGCTCCGTGTTCCCCAAACTGTCTCGAGATGAGAGCTGATTCCCTGGCTTCGACTCAAGAGGTATGCCTTCTTTCCATAAGCACATCAAGAGGAGGCTTCTCTCAACAAAGAGTATGTGAGAGGGAACCTGATTTTGCTGCCTCAAGTGGAATGGACACTGAGATGCCCTGATTCGAATAATGGCCGGATTTCCAAGCATTGGCTTGAATACTGGCTCGTGTTTCATCTCACAAGATGAAGGGATGACTGAATTCCCTGTGGAGACCCTAGAGAAAGGCCTAGGTCCCCACCTCATCTCGACAGGAATCCTCACATCCCTTTGACAACTCGAGAGGCACTCGGAACTCAATGCTCCAAAAGGTGACGATGCCTGACTCCTCTTGAAAACTGATAGACATCCCAATATCCATGTAGCAACTGGCAAGGGACACTGGGTCCCCGGTCTCACTTAGAGAAGCGTCCCTTTTGCCTTGCCAATCCTCGAAGAAATTTCTGAAGTGTCCCTCGTAAGGAGACAGCACTCCTGACGTCGCTGAACAATCACGAGTTTTGAAGGGCCATCCCCACTGTAACTCGAGAATATAACCCAGGTTCCCGGCGAACTCGGGAAAAAGCATGAGACTTCCCCCTTGCCGCGAGAAGAGGCCCGATTCCCCTGCATTGCATGCAGAGACATCCGGGGTTCCCCATCAAACAAGACAAGTGGCTTGACTTCCGTTAGGCTACTCCAGAGATTCCCTGAGGACACTGTCCAAGTCGAGAGGAAAACCAACTTCAGCACAGCAACTCGAAGAAACCTCCGTGTACCCCAGATCGTCTCGAGATGAGAGCTGATTCCCTGGCTTTGACTCTAGAGTTAAGCCAACTTTCCACAAGCACCTCAAGCGGAGGCTTCTCTCAGCAATAGGTATGTGAGAGGGATCCTGAATGTGCTGCTTCAAGTGAAATGGACAACGAGATGCCCTGACTCATAAAAAGGCCGAATTTCCCTGCAGTGGCTAGAATGCAGGCTCGTCTTTCATTTCCCAAGAAGACGGGATGTCTGAATCCCCTGCGTAGACCCTAGAGAAAGCCCGATGTCCCCGCCTATTCTCGGCAAGAAGCCACAGATCCCTTGGACACCTCGAGAAACACACAGAGTTCAGTGCTCCAAAAGGTGACGATGCCTGACTCCACTTGAAAATTTAAAGGCAGTCCAATATCCCTGTGGCACCTGGAATGGGATCCTGGGTCTCCCGCGTCACCTCGAGGAGCGCCTCTATTGCCCTGACAACCCTCGAAGAGATTCAAAATGTGTCCCTTGTAACGCCACAGGAGTCATGACGTCACTGAACAAACACTAGTTTTGAAGGGACACGCCCATTGTAAATCGAGAATATACGCCAGGTTAACTCCGCAACTCGACAAAAACCATGAGACTTCCAATTCACCAAGATATGAGTTCCGATTACCCTGCATTGGTGCAGAGCAATTCCGTGGTCCCCATCAAACACGTAAGGAGCCTTCACTTGCTAAATGGAGCTCCAGAGAGTCACCAAGAACACTGTCACAAGTATCGAAGGACCCTGAAGTCAAAGCAGTAATGATAAATAGCTCTGTGTACCGCAAATCAACTCGAGATTAGGCACGATTCCAGCAAATTGGATCCCGAGCCATCCTGCGTTCCCCATGAAACATGACAAGTGACTTGACTTCCTTTAGGCAACTCCAGAGATTCCCTGAGAACACTGTTCAAGTCGAGAGGAACACCAAGTTCAGCACAGCAATTCGAGGAAAGCTACGTGTACTCCAAATCATCTATAGATGAGAGATGATTCCCTGGCTTGAACTCAAGAGGTATGCCAAATTTCCATAAGCACCTCAAGTGGAGGCTTCTCTCAACAATAGGTATGTGAGAGGGACACTGAGTTTGCTGCCTACAATGGAAAGGACTCCAAGACGTTCTCACTTCAAAGACGGCAGGATAACAATACAGTGCCTTGAATGCAGGACGTCCCTCATCTAACATGATGAAGGGATGTCTGAATCCCCTGCACAGACCCTAGAGAAAGACCTAGGTCCCCGCCTCATCACTACAGGAGTCCTCACATCGCTTTGATACCTCGAGAGTCATGCGGAGTTCAATGCTCCGAAATGTGACGATGTCAAATCTTCTTGAAAATTGAGAGTAATCCCATTATCCCTGTGGCAGTTGGAAAGGGACACTGGGTCTTCCGCCTCACCGCGAGAAGCGTCCCTATTGCCCTGCCAAGCCTCGAAGAGATTCCCAACGTGTCCCTTGTATTGCCGCAGGATTCCTGACGTCGCTGAACAAACACGATTTTTGAAGGACCCTCCCAGCTGTAATTCGAGAATATAACCTAGGTGCCCGCCGCACGAGAACAAAAACAATGAGACTTCCCTCTCTCCACGAGATGAGGCCCAATTCTCTTGCATTGCATGCAGAGCAATTCCGTGATCCCCATCAAACACGTAAGGAGCCTTGACGTGCTAGATGGAACTCCAGTGAGTCCCCAAGAACACTTTCACAAGTCTAGAGGGAACCTGAGGTCACCGCAGAAACACAAAATAGTGCCGTGTAACCCAAGTCAACTCGAGATGAGGCCCGATTCCCTTTCATTTTCGCCACAGCCATCCCGAGTTCCCCATCAACCATGGCAATTGTCTTGCCTTCTTTAGGCAACCCCAGAGATTCCCCGAGAACCCCATCTTAAGTCTAGAGGAACAGCAACTTCAGCACAGCAACTCGAGGTAAGCTCCGTGTTCCCCAAACTGTCTCGAGACGAGAGCTGATTCCCTGGCTTCGACTCAAGAGGTATGCCTTCTTTCCATAAGCACATCAAGAGGAGGCTTCTCTCAACAAAGAGTTTGTGAGAGGGAACCTGATTTTGCTGCCTCAAGTGGAATGGACACTGAGATGCCCTGATTCGAATAATGGCCGGATTTCCAAGCATTGGCTTGAATACTGGCTCGTGTTTCATCTCACAAAATGAAGGGATGACTGAATTCCCTGTGGAGACCCTATAGAAAGGACTAGGTCCCCGCCTCACCTCGACAGGAATCCTCACATCCCTTTGACAACTCGAGAGGCACTCGGAACTCAATGCTCCAAAAGGTGACGATGCCTGACTCCTCTTGAAAACTGATAGACATCCCAATATCCATGTAGCAACTGGCAAGGGACACTGGGTCCCCGGTCTCACTTAGAGAAGCGTCCCTTTTGCCTTGCCAATCCTCGAAGAAATTTCTGAAGTGTCCCTCGTAAGGAGACAGCACTCCTGACGTCGCTGAACAATCACGAGTTTTGAAGGGCCATCCCCACTGTAACTCGAGAATATAACCCAGGTTCCCGGCGAACTCGGGAAAAAGCATGAGACTTCCCCCTTGCCGCGAGAAGAGGCCCGATTCCCCTGCATTGCATGCAGAGACATCCGGGGTTCCCCATCAAACAAGACAAGTGGCTTGACTTCCTTTAGGCACCTCCAGAGATTCCCTGAGGACACTGTCCAAGTCGAGAGGAAAACCAAGTTCAGCACAGCAACTCGAAGAAACCTCCGTGTACCCCTGATCGTCTCGAGATGAGAGCTGATTTCCTGGCTTTGACTCAAGAGTTAAGCCAACTTTCCACAAGCACCTCAAGCGGAGGCTTCTCTCAGCAATAGGTATGTGAGAGGGATCCTGAATGTGCTGCTTCAAGTGAAACGGACACCGAGATGCCCTGACTCAAAAAAAGGCCGAATTTCCCTGCAGTGGCTAGAATGCAGGCTCGTCTTTCATTTCCCAAGAAGATGGGATGTCTGAATCGCCTGCGTAGACCCTAGAGAAAGCCCGATGTCTCCGCCTATTCTCGGCAAGAAGCCACAGATCCCTTGGACACCTCGAGAAACACACAGAGTTCAGTGCTCCAAAAGGTGACGATGCCTGACTCCACTTGAAAATTTAAAGGCAGTCCAATATCCCTGTGGCACCTGAAAAGGGATCCTGGGTCTCAAGCCTAACCTCGAGGAGATGCCGTATTGCTCTGACAAACCTCGAAAGATTCCCAAAATATCCCTTGTAACGCCACAGGAGTCATGACGTCGCTGAACAAACACGAGTTTTGAACGGCCATGCCCACCGTAAATCGAAAATGTACGCCAGGTTAACTCCGCAGCTGGACAAAAACCATGAGACTTCCAACTCACCAAGAGATGAGGTCCGATTAACCTGCATTGGTGCAGAGCACTTCCGTGGTAGCCATCAAACACGGAAGGAGCCTACACTTGCTAAATGGAGCTCCAGAGAGTCACCAAGAACACTGTCACAAGTATCGAATGATCCTGACGTCACAGCAGTAATGATAAATAGCTCTGTGTACCCCAAATCAACTCGAGATAAGGCCCGATTCCCCTTCATTTTCGCCAGAGCCATTCCGAGTTCCCCATTAAACATGGCAATTGTCTTTCTTCCTTAGGCAAATCCAGAGATTCCCCGAGAACACCATCTTGAGTGTAGAGCAACACCAAGTTCAGCACAGCAACTCGAGGAAAGCTCCGTGTTCCCCAAACCGTCTCGAGATGAGAGCTGTTTCCCTGGCTTCTACTCAAGAGGTATCCCTCCTTTCCATAAGCATATCAAGAGGAGGCTTCTCTCAACAAACAGTATGTGAGAGGGAACCTGATTTTGCTGCCTCAAGTGGAATGGACACTGAGATGCCCTGATTCGAATAAAGGCCGGATTTCCAAGCATTGGCTTGAATACAGGCTTGTGTTTCATCTCTCAAGATGAAGGGATGACTGAAGTCCCTGTGGAGACCCTAGAGAAAGGCCTTAGTCCTTGCCTCAATTCGACAGGAATCCTCACATCCCTTTGACAAATCGAGAGGCACGCGGAGCTCAATGTTCCAAAAGGTGACGATGCCTGACTCCACTTGAAAACTGATAGACATCCCAATATCCATGTAGCAACTGGCAAGGGACACTGGGTCCCCCGTCTCACCTAGAGAAGCGTCCCTATTGCTTTGCCAATCCTCGAAGAAATTCCTGACTTGTCTCTCGTAAGGAGACAGCACTCCTGACGTCGCTGAACAATCACGAGTTTTGAAGGGCCATCCCCACTGTAACTCGAGAATATAACCCAGGTTCCCGGCGAACTCGGGAAAAAGCATGAGACTTCCCCCTTGCCACGAGATGAGGCCCGATTCCCCTGCATTGCATGCAGAGCAATTCCGTGTTCCCCATCAAACCTGTAAGGAGCCTTGATTGCTTGATGGAGCTCCAGAGAGTCCGCAAGACACTCACAAGTCTCGAGGAAACCTGAGATCATCGCAGCAACATGAAACACCTCCATGTACCCCAAATCAACTCAACATGAAGCCTGATTCCCCTGCATTGTCTCCAGAGCCATCCGGGGTTCCCCATCAAACACGACAAGTGGCTTGACTTCCTTTAGGCACCTCCAGAGATTCCCTGAGGACACTGTCCAAGTCGGGAGGAAAACCAAGTTCAGCACAGCAACTCGAAGAAACCTCCGTGTACCCCAGATCGTCTCGAGATGAGAGCTGATTCCCTGGCTTTGACTCAAGAGTTAAGCCAACTTTCCACAAGCACCTCAAGCGGAGGCTTCTCTCAGCAATAGGTATGTGAGAGTGATCCTGAATGTGCTGCTTCAAGTGAAATGGACAACGAGATGCCCTGACTCATAAAAAGGCCGAATTTCCCTGCAGTGGCTAGAATGCAGGCTCGTCTTTCATTTCCCAAGAAGACGGGATGTCTGAATCCCCTGTGTAGACCCTAGAGAAAGCCCTATGTCCCCGCCTATTCTCGGCAGGAAGCCACAGATCCCTTTGACACCTCGAGAGACACACAGAGTTCAGTGCTCCAAAAGGTGACGATGCCTGACTCCACTTGAAAATTTAAAGGCAGTCCAATATCCCTGTGGCACCTGAAAAGGGGTCCTGGGTCTCACGCCTCACCTCGAGGTGATCACGTATTGCTCTGACAACCCTCGAAAGATTCCCAATATGTCCCTTGTAACACCACAGGAGTCATGACGTCACTGAACAAACACGAGTTTTGAAGGGCCATGCCCACCGTAAATCGAAAATATACGCCAGGTTAACTCCGCAGCTCGACAAAAACCATGAGACTTCCAACTCACCAAGAGATGAGGTCCGATTAACCTGCATTGGTGCAGAGCAATTCCGTGGTAGCCATCAAAAATGGACGGAGCCTACACTTGCTAAATGGAGCTCCAGAGAGTCACCAAGAACACTGTCACAAGTATCGAATGATCCTGACGTCACAGAAGTAATGATAAATAGCTCTGTGTACCCCAAATCAACTCGAGATAAGGCCCGATTCCCGTTCATTTTCGCCAGAGCCATTCCGAGTTCCCCATCAAACATGGCAATTGTCTTTCCTTCCTTAGGCAACTCCAGAGATTCCCCGAGAACACCATCTTGAGTGTAGAGGAACACCAAGTTCAGCACAGCAACACGAGGAAAGCTCCGTGTTCCCCAAACCGTCTCGAAATGAGAGCAGTTTCCCTGGCTTCTACCCAAGAGGTACCCCTCCTTTCCATAAGCACATCAAGAGGAGGCTTCTCTCAACAAACAGTATGTGAGAGGGAACCTGACTTTGCTGCCTCAAGTGGAATGGACACTGAGATGCCCTGATTCGAATAAAGGCCGGATTTCCAAGCATTGGCTTGAACACAGGCTCGTGTTTCATCTCTCAAGATGAAGGGATGACTGAATTCCCTGTGGAGACCCTAAAGAAAGGCCTTAGTCCGAGCCTCATTTCGACAGGAATCCTCACATCCCTTTGACAAATCGAGAGGCATGCGGAGCTCAATGTTCCAAAAGGTGACGATGCCTGACTCCACTTGAAAACTGATAGACATCCCAATATCCATGTAGCAACTGGCAAGGGACACTGGGTCCCCCGTCTCACCTAGAGAAGCGTCCCTATTGCTTTGCCAATCCTCGAAGAAATTCCTGACTTGTCTCTCGTAAGGAGACAGCACTCCTGACGTCGCTGAACAATCACGAGTTTTGAAGGGCCATCCCCACTGTAACTCGAGAATATAACCCAGGTTCCCGGCGAACTCGGGAAAAAGCATGAGACTTCCCCCTTGCCACGAGATGAGGCCCGATTCCCCTGCATTGCATGCAGAGCAATTCCGTGTTCCCCATCAAACCTGTAAGGAGCCTTGACTTGCTTGATGGAGCTCCAGAGAGTCCGCAAGACACTCACAAGTCTCGAGGAAACCTGAGATCATCGCAGCAACATGAAACACCTCCATGTACCCCAAATCAACTCAACATGAAGCCTGATTCCCCTGCATTGTCTCCAGAGCCATCCGGGGTTCCCCATCAAACACGACAAGTGGCTTGACTTCCTTTAGGCACCTCCAGAGATTCCCTGAGGACACTGTCCAAGTCGGGAGGAAAACCAAGTTCAGCACAGCAACTCGAAGAAACCTCCGTGTACCCCAGATCGTCTCGAGATGAGAGCTGATTCCCTGGCTTTGACTCAAGAGTTAAGCCAACTTTCCACAAGCACCTCAAGCGGAGGCTTCTCTCAGCAATAGGTATGTGAGAGTGATCCTGAATGTGCTGCTTCAAGTGAAATGGACAACGAGATGCCCTGACTCATAAAAAGGCCGAATTTCCCTGCAGTGGCTAGAATGCAGGCTCGTCTTTCATTTCCCAAGAAGACGGGATGTCTGAATCCCCTGTGTAGACCCTAGAGAAAGCCCTATGTCCCCGCCTATTCTCGGCAGGAAGCCACAGATCCCTTTGACACCTCGAGAGACACACAGAGTTCAGTGCTCCAAAAGGTGACGATGCCTGACTCCACTTGAAAATTTAAAGGCAGTCCAATATCCCTGTGGCACCTGAAAAGGGGTCCTGGGTCTCACGCCTCACCTCGAGGTGATCACGTATTGCTCTGACAACCCTCGAAAGATTCCCAATATGTCCCTTGTAACACCACAGGAGTCATGACGTCACTGAACAAACACGAGTTTTGAAGGGCCATGCCCACCGTAAATCGAAAATATACGCCAGGTTAACTCCGCAGCTCGACAAAAACCATGAGACTTCCAACTCACCAAGAGATGAGGTCCGATTAACCTGCATTGGTGCAGAGCAATTCCGTGGTAGCCATCAAAAATGGACGGAGCCTACACTTGCTAAATGGAGCTCCAGAGAGTCACCAAGAACACTGTCACAAGTATCGAATGATCCTGACGTCACAGAAGTAATGATAAATAGCTCTGTGTACCCCAAATCAACTCGAGATAAGGCCCGATTCCCGTTCATTTTCGCCAGAGCCATTCCGAGTTCCCCATCAAACATGGCAATTGTCTTTCCTTCCTTAGGCAACTCCAGAGATTCCCCGAGAACACCATCTTGAGTGTAGAGGAACACCAAGTTCAGCACAGCAACACGAGGAAAGCTCCGTGTTCCCCAAACCGTCTCGAAATGAGAGCAGTTTCCCTGGCTTCTACCCAAGAGGTACCCCTCCTTTCCATAAGCACATCAAGAGGAGGCTTCTCTCAACAAACAGTATGTGAGAGGGAACCTGACTTTGCTGCCTCAAGTGGAATGGACACTGAGATGCCCTGATTCGAATAAAGGCCGGATTTCCAAGCATTGGCTTGAACACAGGCTCGTGTTTCATCTCTCAAGATGAAGGGATGACTGAATTCCCTGTGGAGACCCTAAAGAAAGGCCTTAGTCCGAGCCTCATTTCGACAGGAATCCTCACATCCCTTTGACAAATCGAGAGGCATGCGGAGCTCAATGTTCCAAAAGGTGACGATGCCTGACTCCACTTGAAAACTGATAGATATCCCAATATTCATGTAGCAACTGGCAAGGGACACTGGGTCCCCCGTCTCACCTAGAGAAGCGTCCCTATTGCTTTGCCAATCCTCGAAGAAATTCCTGACGTGTCCCTCGTAAGGAGACAGCACTCCTGACGTCGCTGAACAATCACGAGTTTTGAAGGGCCATCCCCACTGGAACTCGAGAATATAACCTAGGTTCCCGGCGAACTCGGGAAAAAGCATGAGACTTCCCCCTTGCCGCGAGATGAGGCCCAATTCCCCTGCATTGAATGCAGA